GTGAAGCCTGGTGATGCTGCCAGCTGGTTTGGGCTCAGCTACTCTCAGGATGATGCCTGATGCTTCGAAGGCAACAGGACATTCCTAAATGAAGTTTAGTAGTTCCCGGCCTTTGATACAGAACAGTCCCTTTAGGGGCCCAGCATTTATAGTTGTCGGGTTTATTCTGCAACTTTGAACACACCCAGTTCTCCTAATGCTCATCCCACCTCCTGTCTCCCTAGCAAACATTGCCTCGCTTTTGGACTTTGCTAGGTGAACACCTGACTAAATACACAATTTTATCTCCTGCTTTAAGCTCTGCTCGGCGGCCGGACAATCTCATGGACATGTTTTCCAATAACCTTTCTCGGAAAGTGCAACATACTCATAAGCGCCAATGTCTAGCCACATTCTGAATTCTTTGTACAATTGGACACTAACTTAGATCCTTTAAGGAACTGGTAAAAAGCCTTTACTCATGTAAAAAAAAAAAAAGGCAAAGATTAAAACCAAAAAGCAAACACACCCATGCTTAATTTTTGTGCTTATGCTTTGATTAATTTTGAGATAGCCTTGCTATGCAGCGCTGGGTCACCTGGGACTGGTTGTATAACCCAGCTTGTCCTCAAGTTTGTAGGCAGTCTTCTTGCCTCAGCCTCCCAAGTACTGAGATTATCGGTGTGAGCCACCAGCCTGGCATCCACCTGCTGTGGGACAAAGGTTTTACTCTGTAAAGATTTGCTTCTTGTACTTGTTGAATAAAATGCTGATTGGGGGCTGGAGAGATGGCTCAGAGGTTAAGGGCACTGACTGCTCTTCCTGAGGTCCTGAGTTCAATTCCCAGCAACCACATGGTGGCTCACAACCATCTGTAATGAGATCTGGTGCCCTCTCTGGCGAGTAGGCATATATGAAGACAGAACACTGTATACATAATAAATAAAATAAAATGCTGATTGATCAGTAGCCAGGCAAGAAGTAGAGGTGGGGCAATGAGAACAGGAGAATTCTGGGAAGAGGAAAAATTCAGTCTGCAACTGTCACCCAGATGCAGAGGAAGCAAGATGAGACTGCTTCCTCTTGGTACCTTGGAAAAGGTACCAAGCCACGTGGCTAACACAGACAAGAATTATGGGCTAATATAAGTTATAAGAATTAATAAGAAGCCTGAGCTAATAGGCTAACCAGTTTATGATTAATGTAGACCTCTGTGTGTTTCTTTGGGACTTAACGGCTGTGGGACCAGACAGGACAAAAACCTCGATCAACATCCACCTGTGTTTTTATTGAGATTAGTTTAAATCTTTATTTCTCCAGAAAGTAAGTTGTAAATGAAAATTCTAAACATGAAATGATAGCCAGGTGTGGTGGGGCATGCTAATAATCTCAGCACTTGGAAGGCAGAGGAAGAGAGAAAAGGACTTTAAGGCAAACCTCAGTTACATAACAAGTGCAAGACTACGCTGGGATTTATTTGACCCCTTGTCTCTAAAAAAGTGGAAGAGGAGGCTGGTAGATGCACCAATGGGTAAATGCTTGCTGTGCAAGTGTGGGGATCCATGTTCGGATGCCCAGAACCCATGTAGAGGCAGACCCAACAGTGGCCACCTGTAATCCCAGCACTCTTGTGGTGTGATGGCTGGAGAAAAGGGGAGCACCCCTATAAGCTCTCAGTCCTGTTAGCTTGGAGTATGAGCAGTGAGACATAAGAGACTCTGCCCCAAACAAGAGAGAAAGCAAGGGCCAACACCCAAGTTTGCCCTCTGATCTTTACACTCACACCTTGACATGTGCACACCCTTATGGCTTGTCAATTTGTTTACAGTCTGTTAGGTCTTCCATCTACTTGAGTTGCCCTAACTTGTATTTAATCCTAATCTATTTTTAAATAATATCAAACTTCTTCTCAATTAGTAAAATAACTCTAAAAGCCAGATGTGGGGAAATGAACCTAATAACCTGGCGCCTGAGAAAGTGAGGCAAGCTGATTGTGAGTGAGAGAATAATTTGGACCCTATGGAGAACATGTCTCCAAAACCAACCAACTAGCTGGTCGTGGTGATACATGTCTAGCATCCCAGCACTTTGAAGGTAGAAGGCAGAGGAAAAATAGTTCAAAATTAGCTTAGAGCACGTAAAACCCTGTTTCAAAACCAACCAACCAGAGATGCTTGGTATCAATTTCTTTTCTTCCTAAAGCACGTCAAGAGGTAGACTCTATTTCCCCTCTCCTTAAGCCTGGTCTGACATTGTGGTTTGACATGACCAATAAACTAGGCAGAAATCTCCATGCATTCACCCATGTTGTGTCTAGACTTCTGAGTGTGCCAGCAGCTTCTGTCTTTGCTTGAGGAAGTCAGAAATTTGAATTATGGGGCATATTATAGAAAGAGGAGTCCTGGTGTGAGGAAAGATCAGATGTAAATCTAGTGAGCAAGACTTCCTTGGACTCCTTCCATTGCGCTCCATCTGCCTACTAAATTCAGTTGAGGCAGTGACCTTCGCTGATTTTCTGAAGGGCTGAACCCTGCCCAAATTCCTAATCTCATCACATGAGACAAGAAAAATCAGTTAAAAGTGTTCCATCTATTATAAAACACCCTCCAGAAAAATACCCATTGGTCTAGAGCCAGCTGAGCTGTGTTCCCATCTCGTGATATCCCAGTGTGTAAGAGCGTGTGACAGTTAATTCTCACTGTCAACTTGACTGGATGTAGGGTCACTTAGGAGACCAGTGGGGCACATCTCCGGGTGTGTCTGTCTGTGGGGGCATTTCCTAAGAGGGTTAACAAAAAGGGAAACACTCAGCCTGAGTGGTGCCATCCCACGGGCTGGAGTTCCGGACAGTAAAGAGGAAAAGGGGACAAAGGGCAGACACTGGCATGGTCACGCTCTCTGCTTTCTGGCCTCCGTGGTAACTCTTCTAATAACATGACAGAGCACTCTAAAATCAAGAGCTCAAATAAAGTTCTTCTGTCCAGCATTTTCACCATAACTATGAGAAAAAGTAACCAATACAGATGGAAAAACTTAAAACCATATGGGATTGGTCTCACTGTTAGTAGTAATACGGGGTTATTCAGGATCTAGAAGTTGAATGTGTAGACTAGCAATAATAATTTTTCAATGTGCATTTGAATATCATTTGAGTGTCATGAAATAATTTTGTTTCAGGAACTCTTGCCGAGGCTTCAGATACTGAGACTCCATAAGCATTTCTACTGAATAAAAACCTTAATTTTTTTTTCACATTGGAAATTTAAAAACAAAACCCTGCATGCCATGGTGAAGGGAATGCTCCTGAAGTGCCGGCCGACACTGAATCCCCACCTTTTGGCTGGAAGCCTTTCTCTGGAGATGTACACAGACGGCTCTGGGCTCCACAAGCCGAGACTGTGTTGTGCGATGGAGTTGGAGGCCTGCCATTCAGACCCAGGAGGAAACAGTTGGATGGGAGGATGTGTTAATTAATGTGGCTATCGAGGAATTTTCAGTGTTTTTCTTCACTTCCTCTAGCTTCCTCTCAAAGGTGGCTTAAAGAGAAAATTACTCATTACCAAGCTTTGCTAATAGGCTTTCTGTTGCTGCGGAAAAACATCTGGGGTTCAGTCCAAGGGGGGTTGGCTCGGTTGCCTTTGGATTTGTGGCAGGGGGCATCATATCAGCGACAGCATGGTGCAACACAGCTGTTCACCTCTGGCCAGGAGGTGAGAGGAAGAAATCGAGGCCCCACAACCCTCCCCTTGAAGGCATGACTCCCATGACCCCAAACCTCCCATTAGGTCCCACCTTTTAAAGATTCCACCACCTCCCCAGAGTGCCAGGCTGATGATAAAGTCCCTACCACATGAGCCTTTGGGGAACACTCAAGAATCCCAGACATGCTTTCTTGTGATACCAGTACCGACTGATAGATGGAAGAGTGAAGAAAAAGATGACTTCCTTAAGTATGTAAAACACTGAAATGCCTGCTGGGGCTCAGGGATGACTCAGTAAAGTGTATGCTGGACGAGATGAAGACCCCTGAGTTCCAGCCCTTGAACCCATGTAAAGAAGTTTAGCATGGTGGTGTGTGCCTACAGGACCAGCATTGCATGGTGGTGTGAGCCTGTATTACCATCACTGCGTGGTGGTGTGAGCCTGTGATACTAACACAAGTAGTCGATGCTGGAGTAGCAGGAAGCTGTGAGCCAGATGTGGGTGATGGGAACTGAACTTCCATTCTCTGCAGGAGCAGCAAGTAGCCACTGAGCTATCTCTCTACCCATCCAGGTCTTTTAAATTAATTAATTGATCAATCAGTTAATTATTCAGTGATGCTGGGGATGGAACCGGGGACCTTATGCATGCTAGAGAAGATCTCATCCCCAGACCCCAAACTTTTCCTTTATAAAACTATGATTTCTATGTGGTTCTTATGTTTTAAGTTAGCCATAATTCCTTATACCATCGGCCAGTACTTAATTCATTTGAATCGGTATCTAATAAAGTCTCATACACTGGAAAGGACTGGTATGTCTTTCATTTCCTTTTGATCTATACTTTCTGTCTCTTTCTCCTTCATTAGGCAGTCTTTATACAGTATGCTTTTTTAATTATTGCACTTTAGGTCTCAGTCATATGAATGTAAACAGGTTACAATAATGGTTGTTTTGAGGTATTTGTATGAGCCAGGCATTTTTGGAAGTACTTTGCATATACTTTCTCATCTTGACTATTTTTTCAGGGCTGAGAATCGAACCCAGGGCTTCCTGTTCTCTAAGCATGCACCTGGCCATCGAGTTGCCTACTTAGCCTCTCCTATCTCACTTAATCTAGACCAGAACCACTGAGCTGATTGTCCATTTCATCTTATGGACAGAAAGCCAAGGGTTAACGAGGTGAATTCAGTTCCCTAGGAACACATAGTTAATAAGAAGCCAAGCAGAGTTTGAAGACCACATCATTCCTACTCCAAAGTCCATGCCCTTAACCTGCAGCCTCTACATCAGAGAAAACGCATCCAGAGAGGGTAATACGGTGCTACGTTATTCTCGGCATTTCAGGGGCGTTTTTGAAATATTTCTTAAGTTAACAAGGGAAACCAGATGTTATCATAAAACACCCACCCCGTCAAGCTAAATCAACAGAGACCGATTGATCAGTTGGTCTGTGGAACTGGGTGGGAGTTGGGTAAAATTGGCAGGTAAGCCAGGTGTGGTTAATGTCTCCAACTCACCACCCCGAAGTTGTAGACAGAGGGCTCTTCTGAGGTGAGTTAGAGCAGGCAACAGGCTCTCCCTGCATGTGAGGAGATCCCTGAGTAGGGTGATAATAGACTTTGAAGCTCACCGCAGCTTCTGTTCCTTCCAGAAGCCAATGGCATGTCATGTAGGCAGATGAGTGCCCAAGCCTTACCATGCCCTGGCTATCTTTCTTGGCAGAACCCCAGTGGGAAACACATTGTCCAAACATGGAAACTGCCAGCATCTCTTCGCCAATGCCTTTATTTAAAAACCCAGTATTTTCTTTAAATCAGTAGTAGCTATGGTTCCTTTGACTCCTGTTGGCTCTCTGTCGCTAACACATGGGTATAAGGCATCCTTCAGCTTGGTTCTGGTCAGGTACTTGTTGGTTCTGTCTTGGCAGGAGGGCCTAGGTTCCCAAGAAGACCAGCCCGGAGCTTCTCTGCTTACTGGGATTACAGTCCAGTGTTGCAGGGACCGAGATCACTGCAGGAGGCCCATAGCCTGTGGTTAGCTGCAAACCCATCTTAGAGTCCCCTCAAGTCTATTAAGGTAAGAGATCATATACTCTTTTTCCAGACTGTGGGAGAAAGAGCTACTGACTTCCACGCTTGCTACTCTGCTTTTATAACCCTAAGCGCCTAAGCGAGAAGTGTGGCCGAGCATTGATGTTTTGCTTTGTTTCTATTTAGTCCCATCTGCAGCAGAAACTCAATCCTTGGGTTGTTGACCCTCTGCTCTAAACCTAGTGTTCCTTTTGTTTCCTCGTGTACCCCAGTGTTCTTAAGAAAGTCAAATAGCTTTGAACATGAATTAGAACAGCAATTCTCTACCTTCCCAATGCTGCAACCCTTTAATACGGTTCCTCATGTCATGATAACCCCAACCATATGATTGTTTTTGTTGCTACTTCATAACTATAATTTCGCTACTGTTGTGAATTGTGCTATAAATATCTGTGTTTTTTGATGTTCAAATGACCGTGAAAAGGTTATTTGGTCCCCAAAGGGATTGGGACACCCACAGGTTGAAAAACCACTGAATAAGAGAAATGCCTAAACTGAAAAATAACCTACCACTTATTTTAGCCCATAAACTGTATACAGCAACAGATTAAAAAGCCAAAACCAAGATGCATTCATTTTCCACGTTAGCAAAACTCATCACCAGGCAACAACGTGGAGGTGATAAGTATAGCCCACAGGTGCTAATTTTGAAGATGCTAGGATAATTCCAAAGCCAGTTTTGCGCTTCTGCCTCTGATGACATTAAACATTGTCAGCGCTGTTTCTTGTGATGGATCAGTGTATAGTATAGTATGTGGTAGTTGTGGCTGTGATGCTTCAGATGCCTCCGGCTCTCCTTCCAGAAGCACAGTAGAGCTGCAGTTCTGGAGCTCTGGAAGGACATGTGGTTTGCTTTAAGACACCAGGAAACTGGGATCCCCCTCTATTGGTAGAGTGCTTGACCAGCATCTCTGAAGCCATGCCATTGACCTCCGATACCACATAAACCAGGCATGGTAGGGCATGGCTGTAATTCCAGCACATGGGAGGTGGATTCAAAGTTCAAGATCACCCTCTGCTACATATCGAGACCCAGGCTAGTCTTGGGTAAATGAGACCATGCCTCAAGATTAGGGAGCAGGAATTAGAGAGCTGGGAGATGGCTCAGGGTAAAGTGAGGATCTGAGTCGATCCCGAGCACCCATATAAAAAGTCAGGCACGTGTAAAAGGGAACTTTAGTTCTACGACCTTATATTCTACAAAACTGAACACGTATTTGCTGTGGGAACTTGATGAAGCAGAACCAGTGTCTCTAGTATTCAGAAAAGGGATGTGGCGCCTCACGGTGCCAAAGTGATGTTTGAGCACCCTCTGCTGGATGAATTAGGTATGTCTCAGGTAAATACAAGCAACTACTGTCAATATGATTTGGGTGTGGAGTTGGGGGCACAACTTTTTAAATATAAGCTCCGCAGAAGATTTCATCTAAAGTCTGCATAAAAAGAAGTGTGTTCTTTAAACAAATACCCTCTGACTCAGCATCCATGTACCAGAAGAGTTTTGTCTTTTACAGACCCCAAAGAAAATGAAATTTAGAGAAAAAAAAAATGCTGTGATTGCAAGTGTTGCTGGGCAGTGGTGGCGCATGCCTTTAATCCCAGCACTCGGGAGGCAGAGGCAGGCGGATCTCTGTGAATTCGAGGCCAGCCTGGTCTACAAGAGCTAGTACCAGGAAAGGCTCCAAAGCT